AATCTTTAGAAATCTCGATGAAATCCTTGAGAAATCTTTAGAAATCTTGAGGAAAATTGGATGAAATTGTCAGAAATCTCTAGTAAATCTGTGGAAATTTTGAGAATGCTAGAATGAAATCTGTGTGAAATGTTGATTGAATCCTTGTGCAATCGAAACAGATTCAGCCAACTTCTGATGAAATCCGACTGTATTCTGTCGGAGCCTTACGTTATCAGGCGTTTCTCTGTGAAAGGATCCTGGTGGTTACGGCATTATCTGACAAACAGTTCTGACAGGATCCGATCGGATCCTTTCCGACGTAATCCGGTCCGGAATCCGTTAGTTAGGAATCCTGTGAAATACAGTTGAGTTCCGATCGGATTTAGTTGGGAATTCGACGAATTCCGGTGTGATCCGACATCCGATCCGATAGTTTCCGGTAGGATCTACAGGTCGGATTGAATCACCTGGGTGGGAGCTGTTAGATAAAAAACGCACACACAGAATATTAACTTATTAGCCCAGTACATAAAACAATTATTTATTGATGCGATGAATACGACATCAGATCATATAACTAATGATCATTCGAATGATACTGTTTTACATGAAGATAATTTGACTGAACAAGCCAAAAATCAATTCGGCTTTCACAGTGATATACTCCGTACGTTAGAATCATATCGTCAAAGTATACTTCGTAATGAATATATAACATCTGTTGGTCGAAATTTATATCTATCCGAACTTCATACTTTACACACATCTTGTAAGCGTGTTCTAAATTATGCAGTCGAACACAGTGAAGTTTTCAATCAAAACATGCCTAGTATTGGTCCGTTGGTAATTTGTGGCCTTGCACGTACAGGTACAACATTACTTTACAATTTGCTTGCCTGCGATCCAAATTGTCGTGCACCATTGTACACTGATATGATTATTGAAGTTGTTCCACCGATTCCACGATCCGATTTGATCGGACAAAAACGACGCATTGATCTTTTAAAATCTTCTTCACAAGTCAATGAACAATCATCCGATATACTCCTTCAACTAGTTGCATCTCATGCACATTTTGATATTGAAGAAGATTATAATATTCTACGTCAAGCTGGCTATTTTAGTCTGTTTACTATTATATCTGATGGTGATGATTGCAATCCTGAGAATTGGATTCGTAACGAAATGAATAAAACTTATGCATATGATTATCATGAAATATTTCTACGTATGTTAAATGCTGTTGATATGCCAAAATCGCATTGGCTATTAAAATCACCGTTGCATATTTTTTCTTTTGATAAATTGCTTCAATGTTATCCGAATGCATTATTAATCATGACACATCGACATCTTGACGAAGTTCTTCCATCAACATGTAGTTTATCATTGGCAGCTACTAAACTCACTATTGACGCAACAAACCCGATCGGTCGCGATAGAATAATAAAACGATGTTGTCAATTTGTCGATACAGAAATCGAATGTATGATGAAATTTCGAACATCAGAAAACGGTGTACTTGATCAATCGAAAAAAAATATTTTCGATATTACTTATGACAATTTGATGAAAGATCCAATTGGTGTTGTCCATCAAATATATGACTATTTTAATCTTCATTGTTCGAATGAAATGGAAATGGGTATGCGTGATTGGCTTCTCAAAAATCCTCAAGGAAAGCAAGGTCGTCATACGTACTCACTTGCTGAGTTTGGCCTCAATCAGGAAGATATCGAAACACGTTATGCTGACTATATCAATTTGTTTCTATCTTCAGATAATCAATCATTATCGACAACTTCTATTTCATCATAATTGAAACAATATTTCGTATTGTCTTTAGTTTAGATTGATACTAAAAATAGTTTGATAAGTATTTTTGTAGAACCTTGAGGGTGTGGATGTGAGGAGCAGGTGAGAGTGAACATCTACACCTGACATCCACACCCAGATGTACATTCAATGTTGAAATGATTCATGAATATTTATAGTGTCTATTTGAAAATTCGAGCGTCTGAAGTTGGTTGACAGTTTTGATGGCATAATGTTCGACACTATGGTGATTGTAAAGTATTGAACTGATCCGATGATTGCATTCACCCTAGAAAACATTAGTAAACATATAATGAATAAATTCTGATCGTGAAGATGGGTTCCCTTTTCGTACGAGTGAGTATGGGCTTCGACGTCACGTACATGTTTTCTTGGACAATGCAGTCGAGTATGCTATGAGGAAGTCTTTGCTAGCAAAAAACTGAATAAATATATGTTCATGCACAAGACGAGGCAAATGGTCACATAGCTACTCGTGCACTGCGACTTTCTCCGAAATGTTAGGGATTTTTATCTTTTATATCATTAATAACAAATGATAAATAATAGTTGTTTGTCACCTGTTAGAATGAAAAGAAGCAGGTTTTTTCTCCACATCACGACCAACTCATTAGGCATCTTTCATCTTGAGCCATATAGGAGAAATTTAAATTCGCGGAAATTAATGGCATCGACTGGGCGATTGAGTCATAATATCATTATAGCGAAATAAATTAGTTCTATTAAAGAATATCACTTTTGTAAGTATGATCCATGTTACACCGCGTTCTTCTGACGATAAAGCTAATGCAAAACAATTGTTTTTGCATCGATTATATTTTGCTTTAGGATATCATAAAGGAGATGCGTAAACGAAATGTTAACCCTTAAAAGTTGAATGTTTCTTCTAAAAGACATTCGAGCGTAGCTGCGCTATTCTACAACTTGATTGAATAACATGTAAAGTTGAAAGATAAACTAGGAAAGCAACTTGTCATCAATTTGCTTGGTCATTTATATACTAATGAACAGAATGATATAAGAATCAAAAATTGAATTTTCTTTCAAATAGTTTATCTACATAAATAACATCGTCAACTTATTTGCGCCGACGAATAGTGAAGAAATATATATAAAAAAAAGAATTTTGAATCACTAGCCAACGAATTATTACTTCATCTATTCGAATGTCTTCATTCGGATCAACTTGTTTTTGCATTTCATGATCTCAATTCTCGATTTAATTTTCTTCTTTTTCATCATTTTACTGTTTATGGTGTTGATTTTCGATCATTATATTTTAATAATCTTGGTATAATCTGTTGAGAATATCTTCCAACTTTAATCCATAAAGTACTTTCATTGTATTTATCAGGGAAGAACTACCTTTTTTCGACCACCTAATCGATTAAATGCTTATGGGTTCATACTTGCTCAATTTGTTCAATTTAAAACCACTTTCATCAATTTTCTTTCGCATGAAATATTAATAGGAATATCATATTAGCAGTACCTTATTTAATCAATCTCACATATTTGACTCTCAGGGATTACTCTTTGGCAAAGCATGAGTGAAAGAATGATCCGTCAACTGCACTTTCTCTTATAAACTGCATATGGAGTCTACCAAAGCTCACTCATTGTTATTTTAACCATTCGTATGTGCGTGTAAAGAATTGTCGCATCTTCGTAGAGTCTATCGTGATATCAACAAGTATTACATATTTATCGATATCGCCTGTAGGTGGTTCCTCTTTCAACTTTGCTCATATCTGCGAAAATAGGGTGTGGATGTGGGTGTTATAAGAGAATAGAATATTCACACTCACATCCACATCCTCAGATACTCTTTGTTCTTGTAGGTACTATAGAGTGATATCATCATGTATCTCTGTTTTGGAATGATATATAGTCTTTCAAGAATATATTAGAAGACTTTGAATCTTCATAAATGGTCTGTAGGCATATACATTAACTTTTCTAGTCTCATTGAGGAAGTCAAGTTGTTCTTGACTTTACCAAACAATCAGTTTGCATTACAAAAAAAGGGTAAAACTATGGTAGATAACTTATATAGAAGAACTTGAATAAGAACATTTCTGAAAAACTAAGCTTGAATGTTTAAAATTATCATAAACTTACTGCATAACTTTTATGCCAGGACGGTGACAGTTTAGTCAATATGCTTTCGTCTCTACTCAAAATAAATTAACATACTTAAATTACATTGGTTCAGTCCCGAAATCTTTCTACTCGGGTACTGAGTGAATAAATCTTGGAAGACTTCTCTCTGAGAAGAACGCTAATGCGAAACAAATGCACAATCCAGATCCAACAAATATTTTACATGCAAAATTTTTTTCCAGCATTTTGAGATGAACACAATAAATTAATTGAGGAACCATTTTCCGATTGAAAAAAATTCATTTTGAAAAGTTTCAACAATATATCAAACAGTTTATAGGTTATTATATGTGTTATAATAATTTATCATTTGTTTATCTTGGTATCTAATTTCGTTATTATTATTCAGAGTACTATAAACATTTTTGTCTGTAGTAAACGCTGACTCTTATCCCCTATCTTTATTATTATTGTTCTGCACATTCTCTATTGGTCTCGTGATATAGCCATTAGTAAAGATGACGAGTAATATTTGACAGAGAAAAGCTAGAATAATAATCTGAAAAATAAAATAGCATTATACAAATGAAAATCAATTATCATGACAACAGCTATATTATCTTCATGAGATATATATATCAGACAAAATCATCGGTTATTTTATTTATTCACTCTCAAATATGAACTCTTTATTGTTATTAGATGAGTATATTTTTCGACATGAACAGAACAGCAATACATACGAATAAATTCAAATGATCAATTGATTACAATGACTGTCAACCTCCAGAAAAAGAATACATATTCACTTCACTACAAAGGGTAAAACAGTAGCAGTTCAATACTGTATAAATAGTCTTAATGAACGATATTATAATGAGCTAATAAATATAATGGAATACTTAGGCATTTTTGTCATCTATAATTGCTCAATTAAAAAATCATGAAACTCTGTAAAATTTTGTTTTCTTTTTATTTCGTAATTTGTTTGAAGATTTATCCTTTCGGTCTTTTTCACATCGAACTAATAATATGAAATAAAAGTTCAAGATGGTTTTTTTTACAGAAATCGTCAAGAATTAGCAAATCAGCATTTTTAGTGCTTTTTCTAAATCATTATTGGCAATATGTCGTATTTACATAATGTAATATATAAATATAAGTACTATAGGTATATCCTTTTCGTTGTATTGAATATATCCTTATTTAAATAAACATACATATATATGCATCTATGATCATTATGTGCGATTCACTGTCTTGGATTATTTTTATTTAGAAATAAAACGAAAAAAACCTACCAATCGTACTACTACTGAACAAAGTCCGAAATTTAATAAAAAAGTGTTCAGAAACTGAGAAAAATGGATTACTAATTTGCAGAAGATTTATCAACGTCACTATGACTATTTTTTGAAATAGTTGTGCTACTCATAAATTTATGTTCATAAATTTCTTGATGAAAATTAATGTGAGAGTAAAAAGTATCGTAGATACTATACTTTGTTTTTAATTTTAGTATTCAAGAAACTGTGAGAGAACTAAATAGAAAATCATAATCCTCAGTCCTTAGGCGATCATCTCTCAAGAGAGTTTAAAAAAAGAACATTCGATTAAATCTTGACAATATACATCTCTGTTTTAGATGAATAAAGAAAATTTCCGCTTCTACACTAAAGTGCGTACTACGCTCAATATCCAAGCCAATGATATTCACGAAGAACTATGCAGTACTTGTGGTGATGAAACGCCTTCTCTTAAGACCATTGAAAAATGGTCTAAAGAGTTTCGTGAAGGTCGAGAAAAAGTTGAAGACGAGGTACGAGCTGATTGTCTTGTTATTAAAACGACATCCGAAAATATTGAACAAGTTTGTACCGTTATTTGTCATGATATTTATGCGTATGGGTAGACAATAAGGTATTAATAGGTACGAGAGAAAAAAAAACAAAAAGGAAAATTAAGAAGAGAATGTATGTCAAACGGCTCTGTTGAAATTTTTTTCTGATGATGTTAGTTGAAGTGGGATACAATAGATCAGACAGACTCTGCTACTATAGTTTTGGATTTGTTATGAGCAAAATTATTTTGAAGTAGACATTGTGAAGATTATGACACTTTATCCGAATAATCAACAAATAATGTGATTTTGCATTGTTTCAACTTCTATACAATTATCTAGGTTGTTATAGAAAGAAAAATACAAAAAGAACTAAAGAAAAGAAACTTGCTGTTCATAAAAAAAGGTCATATATCATCAGAGAAAATTAAGAATGAAATCTCATAAGATGAGAACTTTGTTTTATTCCATCCCATTCGAAGCTCTGTAATGTATTCATAGTATTATCATCCTTTATCTAATAGGAAGTAAAAGAACTACAGAAACAAAATGAAGAAGTACGAGATATGTCGGAATTAGTTCGTGATTTTCTTGATCCAGCTAAATTTTATCAACAAATAAAAACCATCTGTGGTATTAATTTTTTTTGTGGTGTACCAGATTCTTTACTCAAAGGTAAACATAAATTTTCAAATCAATAGAATTATACTCAATTAATTAAGATTTTTGTGCTTATGTAACAAAGAATGTTCCATCTAGTCATCATATTATTACTGCCAATGAAGGTTCTGCTGTTGGTCTTGCTTGTGGTTCATATATGGCAACAGGACAACCGTCATTAGTCTATTTACAAGTATATATAAACTTTTTAATTTAAAGAAATTTAAATTTTTTTCAGAATTCTGGTTTGGGCAATATTGTGAATCCTATTATATCTCTTGCAACACCAAGTGTTTATAGTTTACCAATGTTATTATTAATTGGTTGGCGTGGTGAACCAGGTAAACCAGATGAACCACAACATTGTGTTCAGGGACCT